GTGATTGTTTGTAGTTAAAGTGATTAACTACCTGCCTGGCACTTAGTTAAGGGGTTTTATTCCCTCCCCAACTTCAGGGGAAAATCCCTACCTGGGGAAACAACCTTTCTCGGAGAGGTGACCTTGGTTAAAACACATATTAAAAACAGTATGCCATATACGCCAGGTCCCTTGAAACATATGCTGTGCAGATGTTTCTTCTCTGCAGCGACTGTGTCAAGCAGCAAGGATGGACTGGCTCCCGGCAATATTCCTTACTAGAGGCCCGGTGCACGAAATTCATGCATGGAGGGGGCGAGTTCCCTCAGCCCAGCCTGCACCCTGTCCAATTGGGAACCCCTTGGGGGATGTTCGACGGCCGGTTTAGGCCTGATCCCTGTAAACTGGCAGTCAGACATCCCTCTCGTAATCTGGGACTGCTGGCTCCTAACTGCTCACCTGCCTGCCTGCCTGATTGCCCCTAACTGCCTCTGCCTGCCTGCCTGATCACCCCTAACTTCCCTCCCCTGTCGGCCTGATCTCGCCCCCAACTGCCCTCCCCTCCCGGCCTGGTTGCCCCCAACTGCCCTCCCCAGCTGGCCAATTTGGTTCTGATTGGTCTGTTTCAATGCAAGTCAAAAGCTCTGCCTCCTAGGCAGCCATTGGCTCCCCACAGCACCCAGATTTGGTTCTGATTGGTTGGTTTCTATGCCAGTCAGCATCAAAAGCTCTGCCTCCTAGACAGCCATTGGTTCTTCACAGCACCCACATTTGGTTCTGATTGGTTGGTTCCTATGCCAGTCAGCATCAAAAGCTCCACCTCCTAGACAGCCATTGGTTCTTCACAGCACCCACATTTGGTTCCAGTCAGCATCTCCAGGCCTATCTCTGGGCCTGATCAGAGAGGTGGGGTTGAACAGCAGACCCCGTGGAAGCCGGGAGCAAAAGAAAGGCCTGACTGCTGGCGAAGCCTGGAAAGAAAGAGGGAGAGAAAGAGAGAGGCAAGTACTGATCCACAGCTGCCACTAAGGCTGCAGATCAGACCCTGCCTCTCTCTCTGGATCTCAGCCCCCTGGGCAGTCAGTGCTGGGTCGCCACGGCAACCTAGTGTTGACTGAAGGACTTCCGGGTTGGTCAGCCTTCAGTTGTGATTGGTCGTTATGACCCTGGGCTTTTATATATTAGGATAATTGTAGCTGGTCCCCAATATTCTGTATCTGCCCTGAACACCAGGCGAAGGACAGAGAGCTTTCTAGGGGGCGGAAGGCCACAGTAGGGAGTGCCACCC